GAGAGAGAGAGAGAGAGAGAGAGAGAGAGAGAGAGAGAGAGAGAGAGAGAGAGAGAGAGAGAGAGAGAGGCAGCACATGAAGTGGTGAGTGCTTGGGAGGACTTTTGGAAGAGGAAGAAGGGCGAGGGCCGTAGATACCTAGTGGTCGCCAAGTGAGCTCCAGAATTGTACAGTCTTGGACTTCGACTGGGCTGTAGTCCGAGCAGTATTGGGCTGTGAGTTACGATCCTGGCCAATTCCGAAGTGCAAATACACAAGGAAAGACAATGCCGTCCATTTTCAAAAGAAATGAAAGAACTTGAGAGGAGAGAGAGAAAGAAAGAAGAAGAAGAACATGCACACCAGGAAAAGACCAATGACAAGTCCCCCTTCTCTCGCCAACCAATCTCCGCCTCCTTATCTCCCCCTCTTTTATTCAATAATACATAATAATAATAACAATCAATGGCTTGGGGAGGTGGGGGAATACTTCTACTTCATTGCTTGGCATAGTGCTGGTCCTAAACACTTCAGTTTTCTCCATGATGTGGTACATTGCAGCGGTATGGACAATACCAGACAACTCACTAAAGGAACTAAACCGGGTAGCGAGATCATACCTTTGGACGGGCGACCCCAACAAGGGAAGCTGTATCCCCAAGATACCCTGGCAGTACATTACAAGGAAACCAATACAAGGGGGGCTAGGAATCATTGACCCGAAGTGCGAGACAAAAGCCCTTCAAGCAAAATGGATAGTTCGGCTGCTGACGAAACCAGAAACGGCATGGAACAAACTTGCCTTGGACAGCATAAGGGCTCTAGCTCTGGTGCTATCGCCAAGCAACATGACGGGTTTATTCTGGGTAATGAACAAGGAATGGTCTTTGAAAAATGTGAGAAGAGGATCCAGGGGAGAAGTAGAGCAAAACATAGACAACCGCCAAACACCGTATTGGGCGGCTCTCATCCGGATCTGGAGAGAAATAATGCCGAAAAAGACCAACAGACCCAAATCAAAGGATGAGGTGCTGAGGCAGCCAGTATTTGGCAATGAGTGGTTGAAGAGCAAAAGTGATGAACCCTTGTTCTTAAACCACAAATGGTTATCTTGGGTAAAGGACGGGGTTTGGACAGTTGGACACCTGTGGAACGACGAAAAGAAAGAATGGGTATCTGAGCAGGAACTAAGCACATGGCTAAAAGGCTGTCACAGGAGAGGTCCCAACCTGCAGTACATAACTAATCTCGTCCCCCCAAGAATGGAAAGATATGCTCAAACAAGGGGGGAATTGGAGAAGCGGCGAGTGGGGGGTCAGAATACAAGAGAACCATCCCTCAGGGCTTTCCAATTCTCACATTTACAACAAGGATCTGGTACTCAAGCGGTGTTCACTTCCTTTCCAATCACACACTCCACGAGGGGTATGCCGTCGATTGTGAATATCAACGTGGAAACCACAGTTATGGATTATTTCTTGCTCAGGAAAGTAAGAGTGTTGGGCACATGGCCGAAGATCATCTTCAGGTGTGACACGGCAATTCATGATTTGGAATTCGACCCGGGGGAGTGGGCGTGGAAACCAGATAAGAAGACAAACATTAAGAAACTCACCCCCATACAGGACTACACGGTCAAACTAGGATACAAACTCCTGTTGAAAACAAAAGACCCAGAGCCGGTGATCAAGGCCAGATGGCAGAAGTTACTAGGACAGGAAGCGGATAAGATCACAAACATCCCGTGGAAAATATACAAAATGATCAGACCAGTCAAAATCAGAAGCCTTCAATGGCTGATAACAAATGCAGCACTACCAGTCAATCAATGGCTTCATATTAGGCGAAAGGGCTCCGATCCTGATAGTTCTGATCAATGTAAGGTGTGTACGGAGAACACTGTAGAGGATATAATACACTGCCTAATCTACTGTAGAGAGGCGACGGTCTACTGGGCGAAAGCATCGACCCTCTGGGATTCCCTTTTCTCTACCCCTTTCCCGGAACAACCCATCCAGCTTCTCCTTCTGATTAACATCCCTGAACAGTCCCGGAAAGCGGAAAGGATTTGGTATGGACTCATCAGGAAGGTGACCCTATGGGTTATACGGAAGGAAAGATGCAGCAGAACGATTGAAGACTTCTCCAACGCACGTGAGATGATCTGGTTGGAGACAAAAGCAATGATACAGGCAGAGATCCTGTGCAGATGGCGGAAGATAAAATTATCTTGGTCGGAGGATGAAGAACAACAAAGAAAGACCAGACGGAGCTTCAACAGTACATGGCTGATAGACGGGAAAATCGCTGAGTTACGGGACGATCACATCTATTGGAAGGAATGGCACAACTCTATCTCAGGAAGGAATGCCGGACAGGGGAGCGCAGAGCACGGGCAAAGCACCCCCGGATCAGAACTCTAAAGAAAGATTTTTCGGACTCGGCCCACCACACTTGGGGAGAAGCAGTCGGGGTCTGGTAATAAGTAAAACGGAAGGTGTGAGCAAGGGAGGAGAGGTTTGAAAAGGACTCTCCCAAATGAGGAACGGGGTTCAGGGTTCAGGTTTTTAGGGTTTAGGGTTTAGGGTTTAGTAGACCTCAAGAGAAGGGAGAAGGCCTAATAGGTGATGGGAATGGCGACGTAGGGACAGAACTGAGGAAAGGAAAAGCACAGACATAAAGAAATAACGGGCGGACTCTTTGAGGGGAAACAAGGAAGAGGAGGTTGGTGACCCACCGGCAGGGCTGACGAGGGGGAAGCACTGGCAAGCAGAGACAATGGGCGATTTCTTTCTAGGTGGCAATGGATTATCTGGCAGAGCTGGTCTTCCAGTTCTGAGAGGAAAGAGTGAGCCAGGGCAAGCTGACAGTCAATCCTCCACCTATGGTGGAGTAATCAATGCTGCTCAGGGGTCCTCCGGCCAAACGGGAGGAAGCGTGAGTTTTTTTGCTGTAATGTAATGTATTTTTCTGAAAAAAAAAAAAAAAAACAAAAAAAAAAACAATCAATGGCTGAACCAGAACCAATGTCTGAATCCCTCTCTTGCTGCCAGCACAACAAGAGGTCCACCATAGCCATGACCTCCACCTTCCTCCACCTTGGACAGGTGATGGCTATGGCGGACTACATGGGGTCCTGCCCCGATGTTCAAAAGACAACGCAAAAGCAGCTATGTCCACCACACCTCAGGCGGCCATGCCTGACTCTGCCCTGAAGCCTTCTTGATGCAACGCTACCCCACTAGGGGCCTTCTAGATGCAGCGTCTACCAAGGAGATGAAGATGGTGTCCACCATAGCTGGTAAGTACCCCTACCACCCTCCTTCCCAGTCCGCTTCTTGCTCCTCCACCTTCCAGGTGCTATCCACCATAGCCAAGGTGGAGGCCCAGCGCTCCTCTCCGCAGTGTTGCACACAAGCGCTCAACACCGAACGCTCCAGCAGCGTGACGCCCGAACTTGCACGCAGCAAATGAGGAGGAGCTGCTTGTGCCTCCTGGAGTTATAGCAGCCAGCCAGCCTCACGGCTGGTGACTTCCAGGCGGCACGGCCTCCAAGCAACCGGTACCTCTTCCCTTTCAGAGGGAAACATCATTGCAGGTATGATATCGTCCACTACAGGCCGTACACTCAGACTTCAGGACCGGTACCCAGACCTAGGCCTACCGGACTCTGTAAAATTTACATGACCTCTAGAGGTACTAACTTTTTGTCTTCTTCTGCTCGGCCCACCGCTAAGTACTACGGGCCTAGCCTACCGCTACTCGATTGTGTCCCTAAGCTACCCCTTCGGCCACTCGTGTTTCAGCGATGCAACCCTGAAAGTCACGGCCACAGGTAAGTACCGGTCCAGCGGGCCTCCCAAACAAACAATTGCCCTGGGGGGCCACACACTAACTCATGCAGACAGGCACTCAGACAGGCACAAGGACCAGCAAGCACGCACACACACAGTCTTAGAAAACTCAGCAAAAAGCGGGAATCTCAGCAAAGCACACATTCCAGCGCAAAACTCAGAAATCAGCAGTGTTTGCAGTCTCTTTTTTGCAGGTCCTTACACCAGCATTGCGTGTCATTGGATCACATTTTTTTGTTTGGGATGGAAGAGAGACATTGCAAAGTAGTTTCTGTTCTTTTTATTGATTGGATGTGAGTTAAGGGCTCTGCCTTCACCAAGAGACTTCAAAATTGTCATTATCTTGTGGTCGATGCTTTGGCGATACTGGTCTTTTCCCATCGCTGAGTCCAGCCTGGTACATGAAAGCTCAGTGTTCTTGTAATTTGAGTTTCTTCATCACAGTCTTCTTGCATGTCTTAACAATTGGTGTACATTTACTGTAAAATAGTCAAGTTGCATTGTATTCATAGTATTTTCATACTATTCAACATAATTATTAATTATTCAATTATACTGTAATAATTTAATAAATATCATACAAGTGCAAAGAATACTAGCGAGAGCGATATACAGAAAACCAAGTTGCAAAATCACGCAGAAGTCCAGGTAGTCATGTCACAAGCAGAGAGCTCAAATGCACCGAGATTCCATCCAAATAAGAGCAATACAATGAACTCGTGAGCCAATGTTCAAGCCCTCAGGCCACACCAACGCAGTATTCAATGTCGCGCCCAACCTACTGTACTTGTCCTACCTATCCTACCTACGTTCATGCAATAGGCTCACTTCGACTTTGAAGACCAATGTACATCTCGTCAACACCAATGCCGACCTCCCACATAGACCAGGTACGTACTCTCGCCCCCTGTCCACCCACTTCTGCGCCTCCTCCCAAGACCCCCATTGCCCGCCTCTGCCTACGCGCCCTGCAGCCCGGCTATGGTCGCTAGCGCCCCGCTGCCCTGCAGCGCCTGCGCGCGCCCCAGCCAATGCTAGCGCATGCAGACACTTGCTTGCTAGTGCAGCAGCGTGTCCACAATGCCCACCTAGGCCAGAATGCCCTTTCCTTGGCTGGCTTGCTTCCTATATGGAAGTGGCAGCTGCTGCTGGACTTCCTGGGCCTGGCTGTGGAAGTTTCCAGTAGCTTCTGGTCGGCCCCCTGTGTCTGTGCCCAGGCCCATCTTGACAGTTGAGGGCCTGGGCCCTTTTCAGTTGGGCACACCCAGAATTTTCCAGGCTTTGAATGTTTGCTGCATTTGCACTGGCCCACCGGGTAGATACGACAACAATGCTGCTTTCTTGTTGGCCCGTGGCCACTTCGTGATGTATCGGCCTCACAGTGTGTGTGCCCAGAGCACAACCACCCGGGCCCTGGGCTCAACTGCCTGGCGCAGTTGCTTCTTCTGGAAGAGCCCAGGGTAAGGCTCAGGTTGCACTTCAACCAACTCTCGTGCAGCAACTGTCTGAGACCCTCATTGGAAAATGCTGAGATAAGGGCCTCTCATGAATATTCAGGCCCGCCCTAAGTGAGGCTTGCTGGGGGGCCCACATTCCATAATGTATGCATGTTGCCTAGGGCCCCCCTGAGGACAGAGTCCTCACACAAGAGTTGGTCCCAAACTTTGGGAACATGTCACAAGCTTTTGGAACTTGTCCCGAATTTTGGACCATGTGCAACTTCCCGTGTCTTATCTCATATGTATTATGTTTTGAATTTCTTGCTGATGCGGCTGCACTTCACTCTTGAATGATGTTTCTGATATGGCTGCAGAAATCTTCTACAACCTTTTTAGCCCAATGACTAAATCTTCTACAACCTTTTTAGCCCAATGACTATGGAACAGAGGAAGCCAGCCAATCCATGCATTTCTTCTGCCTCCCGTGCCTCGTCAATGCAAATTTCTCTGGAGAAAAGAGTGACTTCTTGCTCCTCATCACAACGTGTCCTCGTAACCCAGCACAAGCTGAGTTACCGACGGTGTTGTGAATTACCTATGGTACAACCTACCCAGTTACCTATGGCAGTGCAAGTTACCGATGACAGCCTGAGTTACCTACAGTAACCTGCGTACCTGTGATAGCCTGTGTTACCTACAGTAGCCGGAATTACCAACGGTAGCCTGAGTCACCTGCAGTAGCTTGAGTCACCTATGGGACACCCTACCTAGGTCTAGTTACCTATGAGTTACCCATGGCAGCCTGAGTTACCTACGGTGCCTGCTAACTAGACACCTAAGGCAACTGAGAGCTTGCAGTCGGGAGCCCTTTGGTGACTTACCTGTTGTAGCTTGAGTCACCTATGGTTCAACCTACTTGGGTGCAGCCACCTATGGCGGCCTGAGTTACCTACAACAGTCTGAGTTACCTATGGTTCGTGCTAACTAGTTACCTATGGTATCTCAGAAGCTGCAGTCGAAAGCTCTCAGGCCCGCTACCAGTTGTTGTAACACTAGGCATGCCGTGCTGTTGCTTGTCGCTGACTGTTCTTGATGGTTTTCAAGGTAATATGGAACAAGACAACATGCCTATGTAACAATAAGGATTCTCGCTCTTCCTTGGCTGTGTGGCCTATAGATTCTTCAGCTGCCTGGTGGATGTGAATAATTGTTGACTCTTTTGTTAACCTTGACATGTGCTTGAGGTCGTCAGCCCTGACCTTCTATTTTCCACTTTTAGTCAGGTGGCTGAGGCATGCTCCGATCTGGATCTCAACTCTTTCTGTTTCCATACAACAATGCTACATGACCCCTTTGCCTACCGGTAGCCTGGCTGGGGAGGGAATGGGGATGGGGTGGTCGGCAGGTGGGGGACATGGGGAAGGGACCCGAAAAGGGGAGGTGTAGTTTTGTGATGTTTTCAAGTCAAGTTGGTCTCCTAATGTGTGTAGCCTTTTACGGTTGGGGTACACCCCACCCCTGTTCTCCGTATCCCTGCAATATGTCTGCCGTGAACACTTTGTTGAATAGTTCATATTTCCCTCCTGATGAGCAATATGGGGGGATTGGGAGGTCAGCAGGTGGGGGGTGGGAAGAAGGGTCCAGAAGGAGGGAGGTATAGCTCTGTGCTGTCTTCAGGTCAAGTTGGTCTTCTAATGCGTGTACTTCTGGTAGCCTTTTACGGTTGGGGTAGATTGCACCCCTGTTCTCCCTATCCTTGTGATATGCCTGCCGGGGACACGTGTGGTTGAATAGTTCATATTTCTCTACGAATGGGCAATATGTGGGGATGGGGAGGTCAGAAGGTGGGGGGCGTGGCGAAGAGGGGAGGTGTAATTCTGTGATGTCTTCAGGTCGAGTTGATCTTCTAATGTGTGTACTTCTGATAGCCTTTAATGGTTGGGGTAGACCCCTCCCCTGTTTTACTCTATCCTTGCAATACACCTGTCGGGAATACTTAATTGAATAGTTCATATTTCCCTCCTGATCGACACATGGCAAGGGTACGGCACAAGCGGTTATCGGGTAGCTAAAAATTCAGGAATGAAAATTCTGAAGTGAGAGTTTTGGGCAGTCAGAAAATCCTAATGGTCCTGAAGTGGTGAAAGGTCCGAAGACCCTGAAAACCACCTGTTGAGGGAGGCTGCATCCTGAAGTGGTGAAGGGTGTCCTGAAGTGGTCAAGTGAGAGTTTTTGGCAGTTTGAACATCTTGAATGGTCCTGACGTGGCGAAAGGTCCGAAGACCATGAAAACTACCTTTTACCACTTAAGGATGCAGCCTGCCTAAACAGGTGGTTTTCAGGGTCTTCAGACCTTTCACCACTTCAGGACCATTCAGGATTTTCAGACCTGAATGGTCCTAAAGTGGTGAAAACTCCGAAGACCCTGAAAACCACCTATTTAGGCAGACTGCATTCTGAAGTGGTGAAGGGTGTCCTGAAGTGGTGATGAAAAATATAACTGTTGTTGACGTTCTCTCCCTCAGGAAGGTGGCTGAAAATAGGATTCTTGGTACATAATGTGATGGTGGAGCCTTTTTTTTTTTTCCCTTTTTCAATGTGGAGGTGGAGCCTTCTTGTCCAGGGTGTGCAAGGTGAAAAATGCACATATGGTGGGTATTTCTTCACATCTGGTACAGAGTGGGCCTGCCTGTTTTTTTTCCCTTGGTTTCTTTCAACGTTTCCACTCCCCTCCCTCCATCTTTTCCTCCCCCCCTTCTTGTCCATGGTGTGCAGGTGCAAACTGCACATATTGTGGGTATGCCTTCTTTCTTCACATCTAATACAGAGTGGGCCTGCCTGTTTTTACCTTGTTTTCTTTCAACGTCTCCAATCCGCCCCCCCGTTCCCCCCCTCCTCCCCCTTTCCTCCTCCCGTCTCTCCTTTTGTGCCTTAGTTTAGTTATCTTATCAGTTGTGCTTTTTGTCTTTTTTGGATCTTTGTCACTTTGTGCAAATTCATGATTGTAATGTGCAGGAACAATGCTGCTGGCAGAAGGAACCAATGTGTACAAGACGAAACCTCTTTCACCAACACAGCTGAATAGCCTTGCTGTCTTCTTTGCCACTCGTGTGGTGAGTTTAGCGTACTTGGATAAATATCTCAGGTGGCTTCAAGCGCTTTTTTCATTGAACCATTTCCCCCTTTGAATGCCCTAATTTTTCTGTGTGTGCGTGTGTTGTGCAATGATCTGACTCAATTCAGTCTCCCAATCGGAATCACGCAAGTCTACGAAGTCCACACAACACTCAAACAGGAAAGCATGAGATAGGCGTCAGCCGGAACCTGAAGATATTCTTTCTAAATTACAAAATTGGTGCAAGTCCCCAAACTCAAAAGTTCATGCGGCCATAGCCTCCCAAGCTCTCTCTCTCTCTCCCTCCCTCCCTCTCTCTCCCTCCCTCCCTCCCTCTCTCTCTCTTTCTCTCTCTCTCTATATATAGCCTCCTGATGAGTCGGTGAAACTCCGACGAAACAGTTTGTCACAGCCCCTCGTTTGTTGCCTCTTCTCTCTCTCTGCCTACGGTT